TTTCACCCTTCAAACCTTATACTGTTAACACATAAAATATATATATTTTTAAAGTGCAAATATAATTAAACAAGTACAGTCTCAGTTAGGATAATCCAGATAGAATCCCTAAAGAAATGTCAAGTATTACACTTCATTTTCCATAGACAATAACTGGCTGGTTCATTTGTGCAGAGTGTATTTAATATCCTCTCTGTATGCACTTTGGGTGGATTTGATAATTGGATTGGATGTCAAATTACTGACTGTCAACATACTGTGTAGAGCAAATGTTGTGAGAGCACAAGGGCGGAACCACATCTCACGCCTAACAACAGAAGCATCTTTTAAGCTACTAACAGGCTCTTGCTGACCATGCGTTACATAGGATAGTTTGCAGGAAGATTAAATGTGACAATACCATTTGACTAAAGTATTTGACAGCACACTTAGTGCTGAACTCTCTCACTTCTCCAAAGGAACTTGCAGACCACAGTCAATTAAACAGAACAGACAAATCCTTACTGATACCATTCCACAATGACAGTGTAAAAACAACTATATGGTAGCATTTTCAAAGGTAGAGGTGGCAAAAATGATTTCTTAAGAAATCGTGTCACAGACATAATTACCAAGAACCAAACAGAGGCCAATGTTTTCCTAGGAAGTCTGCTATTGTACGCATAACAAACATGAGCACGTATTGCAAGGATCACAATTAATTAAACTGATTTCTGAAACTAGGTGATCTACCAATGGTGTGGGTCTAAGTGCAACAAGTTTGAGCGCCTCAAAGCTGCACAGGTAGCTACTGGCATTAGAGACAACGAGAGGAACGGACGAGCCCAGCTGGTGGTTGTAGAGGAAGGACATGAGCCTGCAGCGATGATGGAGGTATCAAATAAAAATGCCCATCAAACGTCTTTTAAGTATGGATGAATTTGCATGGAATACAATCTTAAGCATCCGGAAGTACTTATTAGAGCTTATTTTTATCACCACTAAGAATTTTACAGTTAAACCAATGTTTGCTATAGTCAGTACGAAATCAGGTTTAGCTGGAAGGTTTGACATTTTTATACCTTGTCTTTGCACATCACAGGTTCTCGGTAAGAAGCCTGAAATCCCTGAAGGTGATGATAATGAGGATGTGGTTGCAGACGTGTCAAACAGGAAAATGGCCAAACTTTACATGGTAAACAAGTCTATAAACTTCAGTTTGATTCATCTATATGCAAACCTAACAGACACATGCACACAGACACACGCACAATGGAAATGTAACATGATATTATTTAATTACAACTGCACTTTACAGGTATCAGATGCAACAGGGAAAATGCAAGTGTCGCTTGTGTCAGATGAAAATCCGTTTAACCAGAGTGACCTGTTGTCTGAGGAATGCTTCATTCTGGACCATGGAAAAAGCAAAATGATCTTTGTGTGGAAAGGTATTGGTAAACTGAATGCACTAAATGAAGTAATTGTGTAACCATCTTACTGAGATTACTTGACTTTATTTTTTGATGATCTAGGCCGCAACGCAAATCCAGATGAAAGGAAGGAGGCCATGAAAACAGCTGAGGGCTTCATTAAGCAGATGGGATATCCTGCCAACACCCAGGTTCAGAAACATTAGATATGTGTATATGTTTTGCTGCATTATTTACATTCACTTGAATGAGTGACCATACCAACCATAGTTGGATGTAGCAAAAAAAAAAAAAAAATTATATATACACGCATAAGAGCTTGTCTCTGGAGCAGTATCCTTAAAGGGACAACTTCGTACCCTATTTTCCCCTAAATCGGGGGTGTCCAAATCTGATCCTGGAGGGCCACTGTCTTGAAGAGTTTAGCTCCAACCCTAATTAAAAACACCTAAACCAGCTAATCAAGGTCTTCAGACTCACTAGAAACTTCTGGGCAAGTGTTTGGAGCTGGTTGGAGCCAAAATCTGCAGGACGTCAACCCTCCAGGAACAGGACTGGAAGGTTCATAGTAGTACCTTAAGGGTACGTCAGGGGTAGATGATTGCTCCAAGATGTTGTATGCCTAAAAGATACCATTTTTGCATTTTTTTCAGACAGGGAAAATGAATAGTATTCTTTGGGTCACCCAGGTCTTTTCGTCCCTGCACACAGATCCAGGTCCTTCCAGAGGGTGGAGAGACGCCCATCTTTAAGCAGTTTTTCAAAACCTGGAAAGAGAAGGACCAGGCTGAGGGTCTAGGCAGAGTGTATGTCACTGAGCGGATCGCCAAGATTAAGCAAGAAGTGTTTGATGCCTCCAAGCTGCACGAGTCTAATCAAATGGCTGCTCAGTACAACATGGTTGACAATGGCACTGGAAAAACACAGGTAACAATTTGCATACAAAAGATCAGAGATTGTATGTTCAATTGTGCTGCCGTTTGGCATAGCAGAAGATGAACATCTTACTGTCAAAATGACACTCAAAATGAAACTAGAAGATAAGCTGCTGAATGATTTTTGCACTCAAAAATAGTGGTCACATTTACCGCTGTTCAGTGAAATGCAGTAATTTTAAGATGTCACCATGCAGATTTCACAACGGGTTCAAGTTGGTCACGTGGATTCACTGTATTGACCAACAGAGTGACTTCTGTTTGAGAGCACCTTAAGAGGACGTCATTTCACAGCAATTACAGATTGTTATATTATCACAGGATGAAATCCACCTGTCCCAACATGTAAATATAGTTGATGGATATTCTTAATCTGGTCTTGTTTCACAGATTTGGAGGGTGGAGTGTGGTAATACCACAGGTGATACCAAGGTTCCTGTTGACCCAGAGGCATACGGCCAGTTCTATGGAGGGGACTGCTATATCATTTTATATGCCTACACCAAAGGAGAAATCATTTACACCTGGTACGCCTCATAGAAGTAGATAGTTTCCAGAGGGGGAGTCAAATCATACACAAAAAGAATCAAATAAGGCTTATCGCTCTATGCTTCTACCCTCAGGCAAGGTTCCAGCAGCACAATAGATGAACTGACAGCTTCAGCCTTTCTCACTGTTGAGCTGGACCGTTCGCTGGGAGGAAAAGCTGTTCAGGTGAGCGGGATTTGAATTTTATCTATACACTAATTTACTGACTGTAACTGGGGCTGGATTATGAACTAGATAAGTAGGGCTTCAAAGATGTCCAGCAGCCCCGACTGAAAATCTAGAAGAAAACACAACTAGGCTAGAGTTGTTGTCTTATTATGGTTCCCCATTCCATGTCCATTCAGGTGCGAGTGACTCAAGGAAAGGAACCACCTCATTTGCTGAGCCTCTTCAAAGAAAAGCCTCTGATCGTGTACAAGAACGGGACTTCTAAAAAGGGAGGACAGGCACCCGCACCTCCAACACGTCTCTTTCAAGTGCGCAAGAACCTGGGCACCATTACACGGATTTGTGAGGCGAGTCCTGGTCTACAAACTCAATGCCCAGAAACACATTAAATTATTAGGAAAAGGAGGATCCAGATAAACCACGTTTTCATATCTAACTTGGTCATTTATAGTCAGTAGTTGGTACAAGTTGGTTGATGAGTCATGCGGTTGACAATCTAGGTCATTCTGGTTAGCACTGGCAGATCATCTAGTCCAAGGTGGTGGAGATCTGCTTGATGTTCCAAAACAGTGTTCATCTTTGGTTAAGCTGACCTATTTTTAATTTAGATATGTCCCTTGAGTGTGTTGGTTTGTGGTCTAACAGGTAGATGCTAAAGCATCAAGTTTGAACAGCAATGATGCCTACCTTCTGAAGTTACCTGAGGGGGATGGGTACTTGTGGAAGGGGAAGGGGGCCAGTGAGGAAGAGGAACGAGGGGCAAAGTACATGAGTGAGAAACTGAAGTGCAAAACCAAACCAATTATTGAAGGAAACGAGCCAGGTATGGCCAATGCGCAATAGATTCAATTTATTCTCTTCATGCTTTATACGCACACATTGGTAGGAGTTACAGGAGTTACTGACGACATTTACATCTTTTAACTTTTACATACTTGTTGCCCATTGAAAGAGGACTTCTGGAAAGCTCTGGGTGGAAAGACGAAGTATCAGACATCTGAGATGTTGGAGAGCAAATCTATAGCACATCCTCTCCGCCTGTTCGCCTGCTCCAACAAAAGTGGAAAGTTCATCGTGAGTATCCTAGACCGGATATAAGAGAGAGCCAAAGTCCAGTTCGGTTTCACATTAAGCTTTTGCTTTCGATACAAATTCTGCATTGGAATCTATGCTTAAAATGTAAAACATGTCTTGGTTTCCTGTGTTAACTGCTCAGGTACTGCTACATACAGGCAAACTGTTGTTTGGACACTAAACATGCATTTTACAACTATAGATTGAAGAAGTACCTGGTGAGTTTAACCAAGATGACCTGGCAGAGGATGATGTCATGTTGCTGGATGTCTGGGATCAGGTAAGACAGTTATGTTTCTTTTTGACTATCTCTAAGATTCAAAGGACAGCAGTTGTCTCTGATTAGAGTTCTGACAATCTTTATTTTAGCATTCAAATATATCTCCTGACTTTCATGGATTAGCATGTGCCACTGATCCTTGATTTCATCTCTCAGGTGTTTGTGTGGATTGGAAAGGATGCCAATGAGGTGGAGAGGACTGAGTCTGTAAAATCCGGTGAGATTCAGGCACACATTCCTTAAAACGTCTTTCTTCATAATCTGAATACAAAACAGAAACCCCTTTAAAACTCAACAGGTTCAACAGCATACTTGAACAAACCACATTATTCTCACATGCAAAAGATACATTTTAAATTTAAGATTATGTAAAATCAGTCTTTTGATTATGTCCTCTCTTTGTAAACTAATAAATATAGTCATACAGCTTTTTGAGTATTTGTACCTTTGCAGCAAAGACCTACATTGAGACGGACCCATCAGGACGAGACAAGGGGACACCTGTTGTGGTGGTAAAGCAGGGACACGAGCCCCCCACCTTCACCGGCTGGTTCCTGGGGTGGGACGCCTCTCGATGGGACAGTGACCTCATGGCAAGAGCAGTGCAATCACTGCAGGTTTAGTGAAATCCTAAAAGTCCTGAAGTCAATAGACTTGACTGGAATGATAAAACAGAAAGCTATTTACGGAGGCATGACAAGCGTTTTGACTATTCCATTAAAATCCTAAAAATATGCCACATGTCCAACATGTAAAGTTAATCAACATATGTCAGATCTTAAAGTTGGGTATTTCTCTTTAATTTGTTTGCACAGACTTATATTTGTGCTCTGGATTTCTATAAGCATGATTTCAAAACATACAATAAAAGAATCGATACATTTTTCAAAAAATGTCTGGTCTTAGTCAATGCAGTACACAAGAGCCCCCTAGAGACAAAAAAAAGAAAAAGAAAAAGAAAAATTAATTACAAAACAAGTAATACATTCCAGATGTGATGTAGTTTTACTGACCACCAAGACACACAACAATACTGTTGAAATACTATGACCAAAGTTAGTATAAGAAGATACCATGGTACTAAAATTCATGTACCAACTGGTACTTCCAGGAACACCATGGTACTACTATGATACATGTCATACATATAAGAATACTGATTATAATTTAAGAAATGCAAATTTCAGGGTTAAAATTTCATCGCACCCAATAAACTACTTGAAAATATTTACTTTATTTTGGTAAATGCAAATTGTAAGTAGCGGGATTCAATGCTGTGACATTATTTTAAAACCAGCCTGCACAGGCTGATGGGGATCTTCAATATAATTACTCAATAAATATTGGAACAATGGTTAAATGTGTATTAAGGGCTTGTAATTACGATGCATTGTACGTGGGGAGCTAAATGGCTTGGTCAAGTGCATGATACACTCATAATTAAAGTCATTAAAGAAGGATCGAATCATATTTTTTCACTATGCTAGTGAGAATATCTTATAGACTCACTGTTTTTATATCAAGCTAATCATACTTTCAATGTCTTAACCTGACCCCAACCCCTAAAACTAACCCTCAGTTGTACACTTCATTATATTTAAAGACTAATATCATTTGAAACATTTATAAACAAAAAGATATATTAACAAAAACAAACGATTGCTCTGCCTCATATAAATCATGAATACTTGTAAACGTGTCAGTGGCCACATTTGTGACTGCTGGGTTTATAGCAAGTAACTTTGATTCACATCCTAACATTGTATTACTACCTTTACATGAACAATAAAACTAAAAAGCTAAAACAAAATAAATATTTGTACTTTTGGCTTATCAATTTGACAAGATTTGTTTTTTAACACTATAATTTCCCACTGGTTACTGAAAATGGTGGCCAGAAATAGGCTACTACTACTACTACTACTAATAATAATAATAATAAAACTGTATTGGCTGCAGCTTGTTCAAGGGAATCTTACAGGCATAATATGGGCTTAAATTAGTTAAGCAATGGGTGAATAATCAGAGCCCATTCCTTCCAATACCACATGATGGCGCACAAGTGAAACAAAACGTTTTACGCAAGAAATCCTTTATTGGAATTGGCAAAACCCTTCAACCAAACTTTAGGTTAACACATATTGAGTACTGTTTAATCTAACAGAAATACTAGACCTATGTTACTTAAAATAAGTTTAGATTTTCAAAACCGCAAAGCTGTTACCAAAAAAGGCTTGATTGTAAGAAATTAACATTTAAAACAGTTTTCATGCATTATTTTTTAAACGTAGCCTATTTTGTATATTTGTTAAACTTGGTTGAATATGCACATTACATTAGACATAATTGAAATGGGGTTCTAGTGTCATCTTTTTAAGTGATAGACTAATTTGTACTGAAATTACTATTTTATTAAGTAGCTCAGACGAACGATTGTCTGAAGACGGGTAATCACGGGAGTCTAGGGCATTCAGTAGTCAAGGTGTATGAATGGATGTGTGGTGTACGTGACAGCACGTCCATCACGGGCTAATTGTGTATTGATAGCACCGCTAATTGTTCTGACACTTTGATACACCTCCTTTCTTTGACAGCGCTGGCTCACTAATGTTTATTGCATTTTGCTTTCCACTACACAGCAATTCTGTTAGTTTTCACACTTTGACTTAGCTTTTCTTTACTTCCTTTAAAGTTAAAGACTCTTCTACTGGGGTCCTTTTAGCACACAAATGTTAAGGTCCGAACTGAAAATAATCTTCTCTATAAGCAGCCAACTACCATATCGTGTGTTCCGCAATTTCTTTAGTCATTTATTAGAATCAGAACCAGTGATATCCGTTTCGTGAATGAATAACTCTTTTAAATCGGTTCTTTTGAACGAATTGCTCAAACACGTTAACAAAACGGGCTGAATCGGTTCGTTATTTAGTCTAAATGATTCACTGAATCTTTAAAGCAGTGTCCAACTCAGTAAAACATTAACTTATTAGATGAAGTGGATATTTCCTAATAATACACTGAAACAAAACCTCCACACCCATCTTTTTGGATACCAGCTAAATAATTTAATTAGGCTAGTACTTATAACCTAGTAACGCTCACCTGTAAGCGCGTCTCTCAAACTGTAAGCGCGTCTCTCAAACTTTAAAAGCCTTGAGCGACATGAACAGGTGGTGTGTCCAAAACGACGACGGGCTTGACTTTTCACTAATCAAACTCCAAGGAAAATAACACGCGCTCACTGAATTGAACCAATCAGCGCGTAGTTCTACACAGTGGGCGGAGCCAGCCCTGCTAGAATGAAGTGGAAGGCAGCCCGCTGTAGAGTCAGTGAGACAGGCACTGATACAGGGAGTGGATACACTTGTCGGCTCAGCTGATCTAAATGGCAACAATATTTTGGAAATAGTCGTAAACATTTTCATCTTATGAGCTAACGAGTAACGCAAGGATCGCACTAAATAAGGTGGGTGCCGAATGAGATTTTATTTCCATTCGCGGGTGCATACAAAGCTTAAATTGTAGAAAAATAGCATTAGTCTGTGTAATAATGTAATTTAGAGTAACTTATTATTTTGGTAATGAATCAATAGCGTTCTGGAGCCCGTTAAGCATTTTTAGCGCACAAAATAATAATGATTCTCATGTTGAATCACTTGTTGGGAGAAAATGATGACAAAATTCATGTCTTTATGTATGGAGATGAGCCCCTCCTAAAGCGCTCTTACAGATGGCCATAGAGATCTGCGACAGACTCGTGTTTTCCCCGTTTACATAGGTTAGCTTGTGCATTTTTCTCTTTTTGCAACTGGCAACTACTGTTTAACAATAAAATGGCAAGATTAGATGAACAGGAGCCTTTGCGCGCTAGGATTTTTACCGATGCGTAATTCTGGTGCCCCTGTGGTGCTACATGTGCAAATGGGCTTCCTGCTGTTTCATCCTTCATTCACCATCACTGGAACTGAATGACACCCAACTAGGTTAAATGTGTGTGCCTTTTAGAATGACAAAGAGAGAAGCATTCTTACTTAGAATGAACAGCCAAGTAACAGAGAGCTCTAAAAGTGTGTGTGTGTGTGTCATGGTGCTCCACTGCTGGCCTCATTGCATCATCTCCTTTTTCATTTGGTTTCAGGTTATAGCAGCAGCAGCTTCTCAGGGGAAAGAGAGAAGCCTTTTGAATATTTGGTGAAGCATCAGCGGTAGCAGCGGCGACACCTGGTCTCCTGAGTCTCCGCGTTCGCTTTCATCTTCATCAGAGTGACGGATCAAGATGGGGAATGGATTATCAGAGCCCCATGCCATCTTTCCCTGCCTGCCGTCCTTTCAGGCCCTGCACATTGTTATTCTCGGCTTGGACTGTGCCGGTAAGACTACCGTATTGTACCGGCTACGCTTTAATGAGTTCGTGAACACTGTTCCCACCAAAGGCTTCAACACGGAGAAGATCAAGGTGACTCTTGGTGGGAAAATCCGGACTGCAACCTTTCATTTCTGGGATGTAGGAGGTCAGGAAAAGCTCCGGCCTCTGTGGCGCTCCTATACGCGGTGTGCTGACGGCCTCTTGTTCGTAGTGGACTCTGTAGATGCCGAACGCATGGAGGAGGCCAAGACGGAGTTGCATAAGATCACACGGCTACAGGAGAACCAGGGGGTGCCCGTGTTGGTGGTGGCTAACAAGCAGGACCTGCGCAGCGCGTTGCCACTAGGTGAAGTCGAACAGATGTTGGCACTGAATGAGCTCGGCTCTCATACGCCTTGGCACCTCCAACCGGCCTGTGCCATCATCGGAGAAGGTCTACAAGAAGGCCTGGAACGTCTCCACTCCATGATCATCAAGCGGAGAAAGATGATGAGGCAGCAGAAGAGGAAAAGATGACTTTTTGTAGATGGGATGTGAGCTGGATGTGGTAGAAGGCCTCTATGATGGCTCTGCTGGTGATGTGCCATGGGCCGTTGTGGCCCTGCGTTCCTGGAATTATTGTTTCGGCGGGCTGAGTTTTATCAGTCAAATGGTTCTGGATAAATACAGTTCAGAGACCGCAAGAGGACAATATTGATTTACCATTTTAGTTGTTGGATTGTAGCAGCGGTGGGACGATCACATGGAACTTTTACATCAATACAAGTCTTACAAAATGTCAACAGGTCTTGTGGTACATTAAGTTCTCATGAAGGACCACACTGGACATGAACTTGTAAATGACGAAGACCTATCCCTAAAGTCTTTGTCCTTGCGTCTGAAGTGTTACACGTATCCTAGCATTCATGTAAAGTCTTGAAATGGAAGGATTGATTACCAAAGCTGCCATGGACATCATGAAAAATTCAATGTATACATTCAGGTGATGTGTTTTCCCCCATTGGGTTTATCCAGAATGGCCAACCATCATTTTCCCTGGGTGTTTGTTGTCCTGGTGGACAGGGGAACCAGAATAAGCTTTATGGATCACTTGTTTGGGAATGCACAAATGTTGAAATCAGATTGGAGAAGGGTCGACCAATAAAGTAGTTCAACAGGTGAATGTGGTAACTGTCAAGAGGTTAACTCAACATGTTGATGCAGTAGCTTCTCCCAAGTTTGAGGACTACTGGTGTCATTTCAAGCTGTACCTACATTGTGTGCTTCCCTGAACGACAAGAGATGTTTAAATGCACTTTAGCAATTCCCTTTTCTAAACTATGAACTTGCAGCATCTGATTTTTTTGTAAAGAGTTTATCATGCTACAAAAAGAAGTAATGTATTGCTTCGAGTTAAGCATTTTTTTAAAATATCCACTGTTCCACATTCAAATGCATCAGTTTGTCACTCAGTGCTTGTGTGTTGAGGGATGTTCATATTTATGTGTCAGAGTTTGTACACTTTGAATAAATCCACAACTACACTAAACATGTTTTGAGTCCTCATTACTACCTGTTACATGACACACTCATGCTAATTATCAAAGTTTATGACCTGACAACATCTCTAATTGCATTTTTAGTCTGATAATCGTTTGACGCACTTCACAGTTGAGTCACAGAAGGTTGTTCCTTTATAGAGTCAGTAGGACATGCAAAATAGGCAACATGACGTGAACTGTACTCGTCGCATTCTAGGCATGCGACCAAACAGGATGTACTTTGTACTGTCACTGAACACTTAATGTTATAGGTACTGCAAGAGTGCAATTATTGCATCTCCATATTGAATATAAAAGCTGAAATTTCATTTGTACATTGTGGTGTTTACTTTTATGTATTTCAGTCATCAGCTATAAAAAATTCACATTTTTTCCTATGCACTTATTTTAAAATGTTACATTGTAATGAATTTACAATGAATACAATGAATTTAAGTTCTGAATTTAATTGTTTTGTCATAAAGTTAAAATGTCAGGACGATACCATAATGATTAAGTTATTAAAAGAATGAAATTCAACAAACAATTCTAAATAAATAAATAACCTATAAAAATATATTTTAATATATTTTAAAATATATTGTTTTTGAAAAAAAAAAAAAGATTAAAATGTATTCAAGGTGTAAGGAAAAACAGGTTAAACTAACAATATATACTGTATATATTTTTTTTAAGTTTTTCATAAAACCACATGAAACCAACTTGAAAACAGACATTTCTAAGAAAAACTAACTTGGCACATGTGTTTTAATCTAGTTTCTGGTATATTATTAGATATCTAGTATATTACAAATAAATAATATATCTAGTGTATTATTTATTATACCTGACAACCTCTGCTTCACAAGCCATGTAGGTGAGCTGAGGAATTTTAATGAACCGGAGTACCGTGCCTTTTGTCTTTGCATGAAAGTACAGCTCACTTGTATTAGTAACGCTGTTTCTTTGAGGTGGGCTGGCATTATGCCCAACGCCCCATGGTCTGTTCCACAAATTTTAATGAACCGGAGTACCGTGCCTTTTGTCTTTGCATGAAAGTACAGCTCACTTGTATTAGTAATGCTGTTTCTTTGAGGTGGGCTGGCATTATGCCCAACGCCCCATGGTCTGTTCCACTAAAACATAATTTAAGCAGGGCAGAGGTTAAGCTTGTGTGCCGTTCCCATACTCCACTATCGCTCCTGACCCTTCGCGAGACGCAACAAAAACACAGCTCCCATCACAGCGTTCTCCATCCTCCTGTTGTTAATGTTCTTCTTCTTTATTTCTGTTGTTGAACGCCGCGCACAAATGATGTCGCTGTTGACCGGCTTACGTCACTTCTTAGTACACACTGTCGGTGCGAATGCAACCCTTTAAATAGTACTGGGAAATAGTTCGCGCAAAATCGTCCTAGTACTTTACTACTGTACATTTAGTTCTGGAGCTAAAGCGGTGCGAAAGGCCCTAATATGGTGATACATGAAAAGTTATGACAGAATGGATCATGAATGATTCTGAATAATGAGGCAAATATGTATTTCAAAGAAATGTGTATAACTGAAAGCAGTCAATTTAAATGTTACAAGTTTTAAAGTAAAAGTCACTATTGGTTAGCCAAGACAGATTTAATGCCATTTAAACTTGGTGTTTACACATATTTTAAATGCAAAGCTGTGAAATGATTTCAATGATTTTCTCATTTTATGACTATATATGTACACTAGCATTCAAAATTTTGGGGCCAGTAACATTGTTTTTTAAATAAATTAGTACTTTTATTCAGCAAGGATGCATTAGAGGGATCAAAAGTGACAGTAAAGACAGAATGTCACAAATTATTTATTTTTCAAATAAATACTGTTTTGAACTATATATATATATTATTATTTTATAAGAATCCTGAAAAAATGTATCTGGGCTTCCACAAAAATAGTAAGCAGCACAACTGTGTTCAACATTTATAATAATAAGAAATGTTTAAGAAAAGAAAAAAAGAAAAGAAAAGAATAAGAAAAGAAAAAAGTAATGCTGCTGAAAATTCAACAGTGAGGAATAAATTTTAAATATATTTAATAGAAAACAATTATTTTAAATTGTAATAATATTTCACAAAATTACTGTTTTACTGTATGTTTGATCAAATGAATGCAGCCTTGAGCAGAAAGAGACTTCTTTCAAAAAAACATTTAAAAAATCATACCAATCTCGAATTTTTGAAAGGTAATATAATCAATTTGATCAGTATATCGCAACCTAATAATAAATAAAGCTGTTGTATCCCAAATATACATTTAATTTAACAAACATAACAAGCATGACATTTTTAAAAAAGATTGATTTTGGGCTTTTTTTGCCTTTATTACCATAGGACAGCATAGAGGAGACAGGAAGCAAAGTGGGAGAGAGAGAGAGGAGGGTGGGTTCGGGAAAGGTCCTCAAGCCAGGATTTGAACTCGGGACGCCCATAACACAATGGTGTCATATGTCGGCGCACTGCCTACTAAGGTATCAGCACCAACCAAACATGACATTTTGAGCAACTATAACTAAACTTTGAAAATGCGTTATACACAAGATCCACATTTATGCATTTTATCCAAAGCCGAATTATGTGTCAAATGTGTGTTTACATGTAGATAGATATTCCGAGTTTCATGACAAGTCTTTTGATCAGATGATTGTTTTTCTGTGTAAGCATAACCAACTGGCAAAAGTTAACACCCAAGTTTTCAAGAAGTGGCTGACTGACTGATGAGTAGAGAGTCCTACAGATTAGCATTTACACTACAAACGCAATGTAGCCGCACGTGTTTCCGGCTTCCTCCTAATGTGTTTTGGGTGATTAGATCACAAAATGCCTTGGACGTCACCTGAAATGGGCAGTAGTACCAGAATCAAAGAGGTCCTTCAAACAACACTATAATCACTTTCATTTGTGCTCCTGTTTTTAGATGGCAAAGAGTTCATGTTTAGGCCTTTAATGGTTGGCCTTAAAAGTGTCTGTTTCAGAGCTTGAATTGTGATTAACATGTGTTTGAAGTCAGTGCATTTATCTGTGTTGTCTGCCTGCAGTGGTGAGGTGTGAATGTTTGAGCGCAGGGTTGAGTGTGGTGTGAACGGGCGGGTGAAGGATGATAGGACTGGGTGAGAGGGGAAAGCAGAGCGAGATAAGTGCTCCACCACTCCCTGCCCTTCCTGAGAAGCACAGTGGCTCCCGCCCTTTTTAACACACAAGCCAAGATA